ATGAGAGCCTGCAACGACAGGTGTGGTCTAAACTTTCAACCAAAGTTCGCGCCCTTGAAAGCGAACTAATGCTTCATTCTTTGATCACAAATTACTTAGGGCCCATTAAATTATTTAGGGCCCATTCGCTTTTCTTCAGGAAGAAAAGTAAGGGATCAATTATTGACTGCAAAAAAACTTATTTTGACAGATAACTATCGGTTACATTTAATAACAATCACTGTCCCGATTCGCGACCTTTGACAGTGGATTTTTGAAGGGGCTACGAAACATTCCTTAGATGGAAGTGAGCGCAAGTTATTTGCACAACATGATAAACACGGAGACACAACGGTCCTCACCGCACGGAGAGTGAACAGCCACCGGTGAGAGGGGATGGGGTGCCGACTTGGAATACCAGCAGCGATAGGGAAAACTGAGGCCAGCCAACTCGGACAATATAATCAAAGGCTTGTGGTGTGTAATAACTTAATGATTTCCCACGTTGTTCATCAATTCACCGAAATTAGAAATAAACTTACCTCGGCTCTGTGTGTGGCATCATGGCGGCTTTCGAAGAATGACAGCGTGAAATGAATAGGTGTTTAATTATGTAATCGGTAATTCACACGTTTTCCCAGCACAAGGGAGGAACAATCTCCCATAAATCAATGATAAGTGTTGATATTGCACGTCCTGAGGCACACAAGACACATCACCAATCACGACTCGCTTTTACGAAACATCTGCACTTTCGTCGACAAGAACAGGCATTGCAAAGAAGTTTCCAATGATATGCGTTAAGTCGCTATGCGAAGCGCACAAAAGCACTTAAAGGGACCCTCCCACCTTCAAAAAAGTTTATGAATTGGCATGAAAGTGATGTCACTCGGTTCAGAAAGAGCGAAAACGAATATCTACCAAATTTCACCGAAAAATATTCACCGGTTTTCAAGATATTAGACTTTTACTTTTGTTTACTTTTTTGGGATCTCCGCTGTTTCTAGCGACTTTATTTTAGAAGTGCGGCGTTTGCGGCAGATGTTGCGCGTAAATAGCATATACCACCGCGTGCTACAAAACGTTTTAGTCAAACATTTAAAAATCGTTAGATATTTGCGCTGACGTCACACATTCAGAGGGGTATTCCTAAGCATTAGCCCCTCTGAATCAAAATGCTGCAATTTTGAAATTCAATATTTCCGATTTAAGGCATTTCTCGATGTTGTGAGTGCCGAAACCGGTAATTGTGAGCCAGGGACCCCATTTTGGCTATCTCAACTCAAATCTAATGTTAAGGTGGGAGGGTCCCTTTAATGGCCACACCCAAGCACGTGCATCAACAATTTTCCAGTAGCATTTTCTTTGAATCTTGATGTTCCGACGAAGCAATTTTCAGACCCCAGGGTCATACTCTGAGCTGTTCAAATTTACAAGTCCCACACCGATCGAGTAATTCCCTGAATAGATCGAGTTGAGGCGGAACGCATGGCGAGGCGGTGGAACCCATTGTCGCGCAAGGCTGATTTTTTATAATGGTCTATAGCGCGTGTCCACTACAGCGTCACTGTCGTGGCTGAATGGGGGTGCGGCCAGCGAAGCAAAACGGTGAGAGGCACCCGGACGATTGAAAACCGACTCCTTGCGTATTATACAGCGGTGTTTACGATTACGGTGCCGTAACAAATGGGTTTTTAATGGCGCTGCTTAATTTTTAGGGAAGCGCGGTTGGTATGGATTCAGTCTGGTTTGAAGAAGCTGACCGAATAAGTGTTTTGCCATTATTTTATATACGTATGTAAGTAGACGAAATAGATCCAATGCGAGCATCTAGAGCTACCTTCTCAGAGTTACCAGGCGCTCAATTAATAATGGTTAGTTGCCAAAAGTACGACAGGTGCGTTAATCATTACCCACTGCCGTATTCCACCGGATTCAGTCGTAACTGTGACAGTCCTCAGACCATGATGAGGGGATTCCAGCCCACTCTAAACCACAAACACATGTCACCCGGTTCAGGGTGGAATTTATGAAACCGGCCCGAGCCGCCGGTGAAAGCCTCAGTAATGACGGGTCGTCGAGGGAGGCGCTGTCTGAGCCCGAGTCACCGGAGGCCGCATTCGACGCGGCCCGGCCGACGACTGCGGCTCGGCGGCTCGGGTGAGGTCACCGACAGGTGAACCGGCTCAGCGGGTGCAGGATGACCTCATCCACAGATGGGGGTCAAACATGTCGAGGGGCTGCCATTCAAACTACGCTGAGTTCCCTGATAGTGACGTACATGTGCGTGCGTTTTCTAAAAAAAAGAACAATAAAACAAAACCGGAAACAAAACCGGAAATGATTCCCTCACTTGGGTGGTTGGAGGGGGGGGGGGTGAATTCGTATTTTCTTTGAGTAGACGCGGCGCAAATGCTAATAAATGACGTCAGGTCAAGCTCAATTTTCATTCACAGCTTGCGAACCGGTTCAAAATTTACTCAGCTAGTGCCTCTTACCTGAAATTAGTCCGTGCTTCAGTCCTTCAAAGTGTCGGGACATTTCTATGCCAAGCCAAATTTTGTAATGCATACTAAGTAGCATTGAAATAAGTAAAGTAACGGACAACCTATCGCTTCATATGTAGGTAAAGCCGCATAAAAATCTCCAAAATATTTTTTCAGTGAGCACGGATCAAGTGATCTATCAATGGGCGGAGAGAACAATGTCAAACTCTGGATTGTGGAATGAAAAGCCGCATTCCTCCATACGTCGACGCCTATTTGAATACCTACTCGACTGGGTCACAGTGCAGGTCACATAGCTGAGGTCAACTCGTTCCCGGTAATCCAGCTGATTTCGACCTACTCGCGATTACACCCAGTTGAGCTCAACTCCTTCCCTCCATGTTTATTACACCCAAGCTTGACTCACTCTGGGCCACCTCGGATGAGTTCGACTCATCCATCATCAATCATCTGAGTTAAGCTCACTCCACTTCTCCTCCAGCTGAGTTTTAACCCAATCCCTGAGCCACCTCAGCCGTCTTAGACCCACTCTCTGAACGGACCCCGAGCCCGGGGCCAAACCACAGTCCAGTGAGCGCTAAGGCCCGGTCAGTTCCGACCCAGATAGCTCGCCGCCGCCCCCGGCACCGTGTTTACGAGCGCGTTACAAAGTGGGCGGCAGCGGCGGCTGTCCGCGGGCGAGCCCCGTCGAACGATGTCTTTGGTACCGATGGCAAGGAGAGTTTCCGTTAGGGCGTACGGTGACTTTCTGGCTTTTCGCGTCGTTTTATTTTATTTTATCTATTTTTTTTTTAATGAAAAGTAGAGTTTACATATGCTGGCGTAATGTTTCAGCGATGGTCCAGGTCATTCAAGGTCATACATTGCGTGATAGGTGGCGCAGTCGATACAGCGATGTGAATTGTGAAGTGAAGGGATTCGAACAGTGCATTCGGTGCCGATGTCGGCAAAGTCATGTATATTACAATTATGCCTCGTCGATGGATTCAGAAAGTGGCAAATAGTCCGAAAAGTTTGAGTCTCTTCTCCCAGCGTTAGCAAGGACAGGGGTATCAGAAGGTAAGCATTTGAAGGAGAAAAGGACTGTCGAAAAGCAATATCGGAATACAATAGGGGATAGAGGAGGTCGATGTGGGGAGGGTAAGCCGTAACAGAAGGCTGGATGCCCGAGTCAAGTGATGCTCATGTCGCTAGGATGACTTCACATGGAAAGCCTCATCCTAGCATGCCTGCATACCCATTTCCCTCGAGTCGCGCCCCATTCCTCATAAGGTTTAGGTGCGCGGTATGACAACATCCGACATTCTGTGGCTCGTAGGCGCACCCGTCAGGCTCTCAACTACCATCTCCCGTAGGTAAGCTGCGCCGCCCCTTCCCTTTTGTGTGATGCTGTATCAAGTGCGACTACAATGAGTCTTACCGCTGCCCCTGTGATGGGGGGGGGGGACAGGCGAGAGTGCAGGGCTGGCTTGTCGACCTGCCGGCTAGCCATTGACACGACCTGACAGCTATCACTCGAGAAATGGACGCCCCTCGCAACTCCCCAATGCGAAGGTCAATAATGTAATATTGTGAACAAAGGACTGAGAAGGGAAATAGCTCAAGTACGAGCATAAAAAATGGTGAAAAGTCGCATGGGTTACACATGGCAAAGCAGACAACAAGCACAACAGCTCATCGGCCTTTGGTACAGAACTGTCTTCGACTCATGCCTGAGCCAGACACAGCCTCTCAGTGAACATGCTGTAAAAGAAGAGCCAGCGCCACCTCGTGACGAAATTCCGAACTACCATTCTCCGGCCGTGGGAGACAGGATGATCACATTTTTGGCGAAATATCACCGCTCCTTCGGGTCTGCCTGAGCACAGGGCTGCGACGCCAGTGAAACAGTCTCTCCCAGCGACATTGGATTCAATTCTGACAAGTCACCAGCCGATCTGCGCCAGCTATTATCCTACCGGCATTGTCATCGAGTCCCATTGTACGGAGTGGCAGCCAATGGCCAGTGCCATTATTACGGTGCAAGATAAATTAGCTAGCCGGACGGCCGGCGTTCGGACACAATGGAACGCTGCCAGCCACCCACGACGAGCACTCTTGGCGAGCGGGCCGGGCGCGTGATGAGACGTTTGTTATTTTGCGTTCTTCGCGCAGATCTGGGGAAGCTGAGACCTAACATGTGGGCACCTAACAGGGGAGCCATTTCCTTATTTTGATCTAGGTCTTGTGCATTGCTATATGCCACGGTTGGAGAGTCATTTGACGTGTGCAAGTGCAGGGGACCTTTTACCTACCTCTCAGGAACGGCTGGACCCTTTGCACTCAAATGTTGGGGTCAGTCTGCACATGAGCACGTGCAAAGAGTCACTTCTACACTTCGGGAACAGCTCGATCGCGCTAAAATTAAGTAATAAATTTGGCGGCCTTGCATTCTAATAGCAGTACCAATAACAACGCGAGGTAAATGTGCCCCTTATCCTTCCCTTGGAGTTAAATCAGCCAAAAAGTTGAACATACGTATTGAAGAAATGTTCAGCATTTCAGTGTATTTGTACAAAATGCCAGGAATATTTCACAAGTTTTTGTACACCACGACGTCCGCCTTTACAAAACCATGCTAAAACACCGGTAAAACTTACGAAATACGTAACGAGCGTTGCAGCATGGCGCAATTTCTCGAATCTTAACATCGTCGGTAAACATTCGCGACATCGTAACCACAAACAGAACACAGACGTTGTCTCTATGTTCAAAGTTCAAACTACGGCAGGGACGCAACTAATGCTGGGACATGGAGTTCATCTTTACTTCCAGAGTTCATGATCTCACACCCACTATTTACCAGTACTTTCAAGCACATATAGGAAACATGATATTGGAAAATAGCCAATCCTAAATGAACTAATGAGGAGAGATCTGGGAACCTATATACAATTACAACAGTTCTAGACAAAATAAAGAAGTAGTGACTTTGTTCACTATGAATACAGAATTTGTTTGGTAGAGCTTCCCTCGATTGTAAGAGTTCAGGCTTAATCCAGGTTGTAGAGCGATTGTATGCCTTTCGTTGATCGTCCTTCAGTCTGATACAAAGGTATTTCAAAATCAGACCGTATGTTTTTTTTTTAACTGCCTGCAGCCACTCAACAGCACTCGCACCCAACTAGTCCATAGCTTTAAGCCGAGGCACACAATTTTGCCATTTAGAAACTTGTCAATTATTCCTCATTCACAAATGCAACATTCGACTCTACTGGAAGCAGCCGATTCCGAGAAATATTTCGAAATCCTCACTATTACAATTTGACATTGGGTCGTCTGATTGGGTTTTAAAAGTAACTAGATTTCAGAGGCAATCCGAGCAAGGCAAATCATTGTACAATCCACATGTAACTTAACTTATCTAAAGACGAGCTTTACACACCGACAAATTCATCAAGAGCACATCACCCCGCACAAAACTGCCTGCAGACTGCCAGCAGCGTAATCAAAACTAGCCCCCGATCGGAAACTTCAACTATGTAGTCGCCAGCGAACCAGATACAAACGTAGTCGCCAGCGAACCAGACGAAAACAAGTTCCCTCCACAGAGAAGGCACGGCAGCCGGTGACACGTCATCAGTCCCCGGGGCGGCGTCCAGTCAACGTCACTTACTTGTCGGCAGATATCTCAAACCTCCAGGCGTTGGACCTCGTCCTACGTTGATGTGTGTAGGCCCACTGCATCATACCAGCTAGGACAAGGTCGTCATTTGTTTTCCTTTTCGCGGGTCTGCCCGTCCGCCTCTTGGGTTTCAGCTGAGCGGAAACGGCCGGTGGCGGCTGGGGCGTCACAGCAGGGGCCCTCTTCCCGGGACTCGCTGGTAAGGTGGCGACGGATCCCTTCGGGGCTCTGCCGACTCGCGAGCCTTTGCCACCACGAGCCTGTCGATTGGACAACACGGTATAAGCAGTGCGCAGGATACTCAGTTGGACCTCATGTTTACGATATCACCTTACGACATCATGTTTACACCCCGCCCACTAAACACACTTCCTGTTCAACTATTCGGAGTTCAGACCATCGGATTCCAACTGCTCTGCTTCAGTTAGGTCATTACAAAGCACGCCCATGATTAATGTTTGAAGTTTGAACAACGATGAGCACCTGCATCAGAAGCTGCAAGACCTCAAGGAACCCCGGAAGCCACCGGGGTGACTCAATACTAGTCACAGCTCGTACGGTACACCTTCGACTCACCTTCCGTTTGCCAGAATTGGCGACTGTAGCGCGCCCGCCGTGCAGAGCAGCCTGCTCGGCCTGCCCTCTGTCGGCCAGCGACAGAACCACGCGCGCTCCCAGCTGCCACTCGGCGTGCTGCAGTCGCACAGACGGAATCACGTGGTTCGGGTTCTTGGGGTGCTGAACCGCCCTGGTACGGATCTGCGGGAACAGGGAGGGAAAGACGAGGAATGTTAATAATATCGTCGATGCTAATAAAACAAGAAGAATCGGGATTATATCAAACGCTATGCGAGGTACTTAGCACGTACTGTAAGTATTGTTCGGATCAATGATAAATTACGCGAGATCCGATGCCATACAAGACGGATTCGTGCGGCACACAAGACTTCCACCCAGCCTTCTATCAAATAATCACCCGAGCCCGCCCACCACTGAAGAGCCCCGCCCACTGACCGTCACACTGCGCGTCACACGGCTCCAGGTGAACCTCAGAAGCTGCCGCGGGTCGTCCACCATGGTCATGGCTCGCTGCCAGTCCGGCGCTCCGCCCTCCGGCGCCAGGACGGACGCCATGCTCAGAGTGGTGGCCGGCCGCTGCTGGCTCGACTGCGGGAAAACGGGACGGCGTACTTATGTCAGGACGGTGGTGTCGCAGTGAGTAAAGCTATTATCACACCAGAAAGACCAGATCATTTCAATTATCCAGCCATCGATCCATCCAACGATTATGATACGAGTTCTTAGGCCTGACAGATAGATAGCTGAGTCTTATTACCCACTACCCAGTGATCATCAACAACAAAAATAAGAGAACTAACCGTTCCCGACCCATGAACGTCCTCCAAGTGATCAGTCCCCCTTTCCTCCCCCTTTTCTCACAAGCAGTCTCATCCCTCCCCTTACCTCCCTCGGCAGCCTCTCATCCCACCCTTTCCTCTCGCTCCCTCTCACCAGTAGCTGCCTCAGCGTGGGCCGGCGTGGGGCAGCAGCCGTGCCCGCCCCGCGCCGGTTAGTGAAGGCATTCTCACAGTCTGGACAAAACCAGGGCAGCCGGGACGGCGAGCCGGCGCACAGTCGGTGAGAGCCGAACGAGGCGCACGAGTGACACAGCAGCTGGCCCCAGTCACTGCGGGTGGGGTGAGAACCGGTGGTGAGACGAGGTGAGAGGGGTGGGTACTGGGTAGTGAGTTCTCTCTACCCACACCAGTGGGTAGAGAGAACAGTGAGCAGTGAGCGCACCAGCCGGGAATAGGTGAGCGATCCGCTTGTGACTTTGGCGGAGGGAAGTTGGGGCACTATTCTTATCCATTGTAGACTTTTGAATGAATGAGCAAATGAATTAAATGAATTCCGAGAATGAATGAACGCAATGGGGAATGAAACAAACGGACGAATGACTTAATGGAATGGAATGAATGCGTGCACGAACGAAATGAATGAATCTTGAAGCTACATATATAAGTACCCTAACAAAAATTATTTATACAAATACACTCAAGGTAGAGCATCCTTTCCCAAATTCTCCCCGCCCGAGTTCGCACGTTTGCCGCCCACCTGTGGTCCTTGACCATGTGCTGTCGGCCGAGGCTGCAGAGGCAGTAGCGCTGGTCGCAGCCAGAGTGGTGTTCCAGCAGCTCCGAGAAGGCGTTCGGCTCCGTCTCCCAGCTGGCGTCCCTGTGACGGTGGAGCGGGCGTGAGGCCGGCGGCGGCAGGGGGCGGAGTCACAGTGGCCATGACAGTCAGGGAGTACAGGCTGACAAGTGACAGGGGAGGTCAGACTGACAGCGACAGAAGACACGGCCTGAATGAGGATGGAGGCACAGCTTAAACAGTGAAAAAAAAATGTTGATAGCAGATAAGAAAGCTAATAGAAAACACGTAAGATCAGCAGCTGAGGCACACACAGAAGTGTGACAAATGGCTGATAGGGATGTTAAGCCTGACACTCAGACCACCGCTATTTAGCGATAGGTAGGACTCACTAAACACGTAGCTGCCACAATATTTCATTGCTCCCACGACAACAGAAACGAGAGCAAGCATCAACAAACACCAACCGATTACCTTTGAGGAACGAAGACGCCAAATTTCTTCACGTGTCTCAGGAAGCCGGAACGATTGTTCTTGTCACGACAAATCGGGCAAGTGAAAAAATAGCCCGAACTGAGAGCCATTTGCTGAAACACACGGACAAAGTCAACAACAGTTTCGCATAACAATCTCGTCCTCAGCACAAGCGAGTAATTGCTGAATTGACGCAATCCGAGGATGAGGAATAATCGGAGCCATTTTAGAGTGTTACTGAGGACCCATTGTCGGTTACGAACAAAAATAAAATACAATAAACTGCTTGTCACCTGTCTGTCGTAGTACTGTCTCACCTGCAGGCAGAGTTTGTGGAAGTTGTGTCCGCAGCAGGGGGTGCAGAGCACCTGCAGTCCATCCGGCCGGCCGGCGGGACACAGACAGATCCCACACGACTCGTCCCGAACCCGTTCGGGGTCCACCTGCTGGCTGGGACGGTGCTCGGAGCAGTGCACGCTGCCGGGCGGCACATGCCGCGGTCAGAGACGGCGGAGAGATGAGATGATAAAGGCGTAGTGCGAAAAAACGAGCGTAACGCGTTTGAAAATAGCGTGAAACGATGCATGTGAACCAACAGTCAATTACTCAGCTGTTGACGAAAACATCTTCAACTGTGATAACCAACCCTTGCAGACAGAAGCACTCATATTTTTTTAAACCCTCGTTACTCATCAGTTTCGAATTCGATCTTCAATTTCAGTGTCAAACTGCTTTTGAGATGCTATTACGTCATCGCAAAAATAAATGTTTCAAGAAAATATATGTGCAACAAAATGTAAAAAGCACGCCGATCGCCACACAATAGGACGGCCGAAAACGTTCGGCTGCACTCACTTGAAGCTGCCGAAGAAGCTGAGCAGGGCACCGGCAAACACGGCGCAGGGGATGTGGAACTTTTTGGTGCAGTCGGCGTGACTGCAGGTGGCGTGCGCCCCACCGCGTCGGCAGTAGTGACACTTCTGCAGACACCGGGCGGCCGTAGATCAGTCAGTCCGCGGGGAATGGAATACTTCCAGCAGTAACAGAGCAATAATGGTTAAAAAAACGGTGGCAATAAATGAGTAAGGTTGGTGGCAGGCAGTTCTGGCCAGTGAAAAGAGAAGGCTGTGATGGTGCCAGTTAACTTGTGGAAGAGCTGCCAGGGAGGGATGAAAATATTTTAATCCATATGTTGCCTCCATATGGAGGTAATAACAGTCAACAAGTGGAGGTGGAGGTCAGTGACAGGATTGAGATGTTGGAGGAGTGTGGCGACTGTCACTGTGTGGATAATCAGTTGGTGACAAGTCACACTAGTGCTGGTCAAAGAGAAAGGAACAGACACTGTGCCTAGCATTCATAGCTCCACAAAATCCAGGTACATCCCATAGCAATCCATTCCACTCTCCACAGGCTAAATGAACTTCATAGATTGGTACAAGATTGAAGTTCAGGCTCACTACAAGTGATGCAATTGAGAGCTTAGCAGACAGTTGAGTTCAGCTCAAATAGGAATGCTGCCCCAACGTGTTGCCCCTGATTGAGAATTTCATTCAGTACCTAGCACTCACCCTTGGTGCACATTTCTTAACTTGTTCACGAATGTCAGCTAGCTTGAATCCTTGAAGTCCTTCACTATCTTTGCCTTTCTGTGGAAGCTCTCTGGAAAATAGCTGTAAGGAGCAGCATATCAATAAATATCAGAAAACACTCATAAATGTTTTTTTTGTTAAACACACCTATGTACCTATAGTGAATGCAATCATATAAAATATCCTAGTTTCATCTGCTTCTGATCTACTAATTACATAGGTAGGTACTCAGCTTCATTCTTCAAAATTAACCAAGTACCCAGTTTCACCAATTACCCAGCATTCATAAGCAACAGCCCAGCACAGATAATAAGTAGCAATGACAATGTCCATGCATAACAATTACCTAGCTGCTACCCCCCCCCCCCCCCCCCCATTACCATCATCATGGAGTATAGGTAGTCGGCCCCTATCATTAGTGGCCAGGGATCATGTCACTTCCCAGTTCTCACCATGCAGTAGTGGTGACAGCGCACACCACGCTTCTGCAACAAGTCCCCCAAGAGAAGTGGGGCATCACACGGGCTTTTGCAGAGGATGCACACCATGTTAAATTTTTGGTGCATTCCTTCCGCAGAATTGCAGAAGCCACTGGAACACAGAAAATAAATCATAAAAACGAAGAGTATTAGAAAGCAATGGTCCCTAGACCAAGATAACATCAATGCAGCATATTTTAATGGCAAGGCATATTTTAATACAAGTTGAAAGAGTGCAAACTAGGTCTCAATGAATAAAATACAAATCATCACTGAAACTCTTCACTAGCATGTCTTACTAGCATGTTAAGACAAAAAAGAAGCAAACACATCCCTTCCTATATCCAGACAAGCGAGGCAAAGATGAACCCAACGAGGTAAGAATACGAGGTAAGAATACAGAAATAGGTGAATAAGCTCACTTAAAACACTAATTAATTGTTAATGGTATAAATGAAGAGTCCAAACTGAGCAAAAAATGAGTTTATAGTATATACCATACCTACCTATGCCTATGACAATGATTACCTACGTTTGCGGTTTGACAGGAAAACAATCAAAATATTCAATTCAACGTACCTTTCACATTGAATATTTAGCAAAACGCTATTTGAAATTTTCAAAAACTGAAACACAGAAACTACTGAAAGTCCTATATTTCTCGCGCCCTCAACAACACACAAAAACAAAGCGCCTCCCGCTTTATTTTGTCAAGGTATATAAAAACACTGTATTTTCAAAATTTCGCGCGCTAGGCTGCCGCGTTTTTCAAGCGACTAAAACACAGCAAAACTATACATAAATGGCAGCGATTTACGC